ACGAGTTTGCTGAACAGAAAGGAATGAATGGCTGGAAACAAATACAGCAAAACACACAATTCAGGAGCAAAAACTTGCAAACAAAATACTGGTATGTTCTTGTAAAATATTAAACCTGCCTGCTTCGTTTTCTTCATAGGGTCTTGGAGATAGCAAACTTGAAAGCAGCATATTCACCTGGCAGCTCCTGACTGCGTGGAAATCTGAGCTGATGCTGAACAGGAACCAAGTAAGTGTTAATAAACAGTCAGGACCACTTTAGTCAAAGAAAACTTTATTTCTATTCGCAGTATTATATTTGGTGGTATGGCTCTGTTTTGGAACCTCTCTGCCCTTCCATGTGCCTACATGGAAAGCCTAAGGCAGAGAAAGCAGCAGCAAAGACCCCCCAGGAACAGAACAGAGCAGCATCAATGACAATCAGAAATGACACTGATAAGTCAGACGCAACATGAAAAGGAGGAGCTGGGGTGGAGGTGGGTTGCATAGCAGCTTGCAGAGGAAGCAGCAACAGTAGGCAGGTCAGAGCAGTCTAAATAGGGCGCCCTGAATGAGATAGGTTGCATAAAAAGGAATCATGTGATCTATCAGCTGACTCCCTTCATCAATCAGCTGCTCCAGGCCGGGTCTAACCTCAGTAATGGCAGCAACAGAAAGTTTGCTGATCCATCGGGGAGTCAGGGCTGTCAAGTCCCCGGAGCTGGGGGTTGCGAAGGCTGAATTCAGGTAACTGCAGCTGCCAACTAGGGCTCCGCCTCTGGAGCTGCTGCCCGCTCTCCTCACGGTGAGATGGTTTGTAGCGGTGGGAGGTGAAGCGGAGGACACACTGTGATTCAAGCGGCTAAACTCTCTTCTAGACTCTTTTTTGATAAGTTTGTCTCTTTTTTGTGTTGCCTTGCTGTGTAGACAGTCGTTGCCAATGCTGGAATAGCAACTTTCTCTGAAAGACTCTCTGCCATCGAATTAGACTTTCACCACCTGAACGGACGTGCACGCTAATCTGCATTTGTAGAACAGCCAAAAGCAACGCCCTCTCTCTGAAATGACCTGTGATTGGCCAAAGTCTCCTGTCATGGGCTAGATTTCCTAAATCATGAAGACAGAGCCAAGAGGAGGTGCAGAAGTCTAGTTTCCTCTCAGATCACTTGAATTACAAAATACTCAGAGTATATGGGTTTTTGCCCCGTGACGCCAACATAAAACTGACTACTGCAGCTTTAAACTGTGCCTACACCAAGCCATTTTCACTCGTCAGTCATTATTTTCACTCGTGACCCCTGCTGGCTGCCAGTGACTGACCCCAAACACCACGAAGAGTTAAATTTTCTGGGCTGTAATCCTTTGAAAGTGTGCCGTCTGACACGGCAGGCGCCCAGAGTTTGACCCCAATAAAAACTGAATTTGAGGATTTCTCTCTGTGCTGCAGTTTCTGCTACAAGCTACTTTGTTGTGTGGTTTTTTTTATCACGTTAAACTTTGATAACATTTAGTTTATGATCATGTTTCAGGACCCGTTTCAGAGGCTGCCCTCAGAGTTCCAGCAGAAGCTGTCTGAGGAGGAGAGGAAGGGCCTGAAGGTCTTCCTCGCTGTCACAGATGTTGAGACTTTCTCTTTGGAGTTGCATGAAATTCTGCTGCTGAAGACGAGCAATGCTGTGCCTGAGGAGGGTTACCAGCCACACTGGGAGTAAGTGCACGCCATTTGTACACTCCCCCCCATAGAGAAAACAGCCAGTTTACCATTTGTGGGTTTCTGTTGGAGGTGATGCACCAAATGCTAAAACAATCCCCAAACATTTGATTTATTGGCATCAGTTTACTCCAGATGTGTTTTTAGGAATTCTTACTGAGCTCATGGGTGTAAGAAGTGTGCCTATTGTCAGCTCAGAGATTACCACCTCAGTCTGAAGGAATCCATTGATCCTCGACAGCTTTAATCAGAGCAAAGTGTGGAGGTCTCACCCAGGGCTCTCCCCTGGGATCTGGAGCCTTTTGACTTCCAGGAGCGGAGCGTGACCCCTCCAGGCAGCCATCTGTCAGGGGAAAGCAGCTTAAGTTGTATCCCTTCAGCCACAGGTCATTGCTATTGAAGCAGCAGCTGGGCAGGGAGGTGAATAGGAACGCTGGCGGTGGAAACAATGTGGTGCTAACTCTTGTTTTCTTCGTGCCCTCCCTCCCTGCTGTGTCCAGCCTCAGGTCCACCTTAGAGGTCCATTTGGAGCAGAAAGACCTTCCACCACTGCAGGAGCTCGACTCTTTACCAGAGGACATCACAGTGGGACAAGGGGCAGACGTGTGGAGGGCTGCTGTAGAGTTCAAACGGAGATAAATTGTCTCAGCTGAATATTTTTGATCTTTGATGTCAAGTCATTGTGTTGCTACTGATATATTACTAATGGGATGTCTGGATTAAGACTGGGTGTCTGTGATAAATGCATTCCATATAAAGGGCATGTTATTAAATGTTTCTGTATATTTGTTTTTCAAAACGGTCTTTATTTACAATGAAGCATTGTAATAATTGTCATACAAAAAAATAAGATAAATAAAAGACAACTTTGCACAAGCCAGAGGAATTCAGAGTCCAGTCATTTAAAGCCATTTGTATGGAAACAAAGAAGAGTATTTGAATTTTAGCAGCCACTGAATCCTTTGTATTGGGAATTAAACACTGATTTCGTAGCACTGAATTATTTTACTTTAAAAACTGCATATCTGAATTTATTTGTTCTAAATTCACCTCTTTGAATAAAAAATATAAATTTTTTTAGATTTGCAATTTCAAACTAAAAAAAACTAGTTGACATTTTTCTGAATTTGAATATATATATATTTTTAAAGTTAACAAAATAAAATCCAGAAATTCAAGTAAAAAAAATCCAATATTTAAAATTAAAAAATAAACGCCACTGAATTCATCGCATACAAATATTTTACTCCAAAAACCATCTATCTGAATCTCTAACTAAATCTTCTAACTCACCTCTTTGAATTTTGAATTTTATTTTTTTTAATTTGCAATTTTAATTAAAACAAATAGATAAAATTATTATATTTGCATTATTTGTCCTGAATTTGTTTTTTTAAATTGCTTATTGGAAAATTCAAATTGTAAAAAAAAAAAAAAAAAAAAAAAAAAGATAAAAAAAAAATCAAGCAAATCTGGGGTGCCATTCAAGTTGAAAAATTAAAAAAAAAAAAAAAAAATTTTTAACTTTTAATTTTTCAATCTCATAAATGAATTAGGAGTTATTGATTAGGACTAATCAAATTTGACTGATTCTATTTCATTTCAAAACTTTTCAGCGTTATTTTTTAGATTGAAAGTACTTATTGAGAAATGTCATACTTGAATGTCAAAGAGGTGAATTAAGAACATATAAATTCAGATATTTGGTTTAATAAAAAAGTAAAATATTCCAATGGTATGAATTCAGTGGTGTTTATAGTTCAACAAAGTATTCAGTGGTCATTAAAAGTCAAACACGTGTGTTCAAAGAAAACGTAATTCCTTTAAAATATTGAAAGTCTTTGTAGCTTTTTTGTTCTTCACATTTTCTAGTAAGGTGTCATATAGCTTGAGTTCAACAATAAACCAATGAAAGTAGGGTTTAGAGTCAGACCAATGAGATTTGTGATTGTGGAAATTACTGAGAATAATCAAAATCTGAATAATAAAGGTTACACTGCAATCCATCGTGTGGAGCACAAAATATGACGTTGCATCAAATACATTAATCTGTACATATGTACTCATTTTGAATAATGACAGTAAAAGACCAAACTGAATGCTGTTTATCTGACTTATTAAAAGTACATGTTACGTCTAAAGCAGTGATATTCAATTTGCAGCCTGTGGGCCAAACGTGGACCACTGACTATTTCTTACTTAAAAATGTAAATAAATTGATTCACATTAGGAACTTTTTTTAAAAAAAAGATTAATATAAATAAGGTGCCAGAGTGAATTAAAATATCAAAATAAAGCTTGTTATCAGAAGAATTGCCACAGGAGGATTCCCTGGACCTTCTAGAAACACTCTCACCTACACCTGCCAAATCCTGCGACTGGATTTGCTCCTTGGTGAAGATGAGTGAGGACAACAAACAATGAAAGGTTGAAAACAGGCAATTATTTTATCTTTTATACTGTTGAATTAAAAAAAAAAAAAGCTAATAAGCGTCCCAGGTAGCCAAAATGACCTGGCCCAGAATCGGGCCAAATCAGCTGGCCTGGTTCCTGCTGCTGACATTGCCATCACTGGGGCGTGATCAGAAATGACCCGGCCCAGCATCGGCCCAAACTCGGCATGCCGGATTAAATTAGCCGAGTTACATCCGGTTGCCTGACTCAGCTGAGACTCGGTATGAACGCGCCCCAGAATTGGGCCAAATCAGCCGGCCTGGTCTAGTTGCCCAACTCGGCTGAGACTCAAATCAGCTGGCTTGATTCAGGCAGCTGACACTGCCCTCACTGGGGTTTCTAACGGGCCACTTGTCTCCTGTCATTTTGCAAAAGTGGCCCAATGGTTCAATTCAGAATCCATTTCAGCTTTGTTTTAACTTTATTTCAGACACATGGGTCCATCTTAGTGTAAAAATCACTAAAACCACTGGTCTGCTTTAAATCTTTCCAACACTTTGAGATGTCTGGTGGGGCAATAAAAGCATTTGTTTTATTCATTATGTTAATGTTCAGTATAATACAGTATAATAACGAGGAGTCAGGGAACAATTAGTGAAGTAACTGTGAATAAACACAGAGTTTATTTCCCAACACTGAAAATGTAAATCTACCATCACACCTACCTTTGCAAAGTCAACCAAACCGTTGTTCAAGCCACGCCCCCTGGAATCCACATAGCGGACTGACATCCCCGCTCAGCCAATCAGATGCACGCATACAGCGACATTGTTCCCTCTCCACCAATCACAGACGTGGAGGGGCGGCTGTTATCTGTGTTGTTACCACAGAGATTATTTGGTTCCCAGTATTTGTCCACTGAGTAAACGGAGGACTTTCACTGGTGTCACAAGGACCGTTTTGGGAATTAAAACACAGCCGTGGAAGTGTAAAGAGATTTTCAGACATGGTGCCATCCAGCTCCTGAAGTGAGTAACGTTACTGAACGCTAAGTTGTTTTAGTAGCTAACATTAGTTTGTGCTTGACGGAGAAACGTTAAAGACGTTAGCTAGTAACGCTTTTCCTTCATCAGACTTCATCTGGAAAACAGCCGTTTTTAATTTCAACCAACTTATTAAGGATATAACCGTTAACGTCAGTGTGACCGCTGAAAGGAAATGCGATTGTATTTTAATTACAAAAGTGTAAATTAACTGTATCGCGTTTAAATGACGTTACAATGTAAAACATCCAGATTTGCATCAGTTGGGGATAATCTGTCCCGGTCAACGTTAACTCCACATGAACCATTAGTAACGGTATAATGACTGTTAGCTTACTGTGCGGGTCGTGTAGTGTAGCAACAGCTAGCATGCAAGTATTACTGTGTGTGAACTAAAGTTAGCTGCAGACAACTGTGTTTTTACTCAAGCTAGTGCTGTGTAACGATATTTATCACACCTGTCATTCTTCAGTCTTGTTTTTGTGATGGGAGATGATAACCTTAGCTAAGGGACTGTGCTGTATTTATCAGGGGAGCAGAGTGGCTGCGGTGTGACTGTTTCTTTTAATCTTGACCCTCCCCTGAGCTACAGATATTTTCCTTGAGCCTCCCTGAGTGACTGGCAGAAATCCATGACCCTCCTCCCTCCACCATTAATAACCATTTTCTAATATTCACGCCAAATACAGGTATTGACCCTTGGCTTAGTCCCACCTGTCCAATCATTGTGTATCATCAGCCAGCTTTGAAGAGGGTCTAACAACTGCACAGCCGGGTCATTTCAGATTTTCTTCATTTCAGTGTTGGCTGGTGTTTTGAGATGAACGTGCCTGGGGCACACTGTGTATTAATCATACTCCTGAGCTGGAGAGGAAGGACACAGATGTTCTTCTTTGTTGCAAAATTGAAATCAACCCCTAATAAATAAAGTGTTAGGGGCCGTACACATGCTCCATCTGCTGCTGCTGGGTGCTACTCATGTACCTTTTCTGTGCCAGCTTTCAAGGGTGCAGCAGCAGGTTGCATCTGAGGTTGCTAAGCAACCTCAACAAGCACCATATCATAGCCTATTTACCTGAAATCCTGAGTGCAGAGTTGATCTTCTTCCAGGCGCCCTTTGCACATAGACCAATATGTACAGATGAAGGTAAGGATATCTCTCGGCTGTGAATGGTTGGTCCTCGTCACATAACGTGTGGTGCGTGCTGCTGCGTTCCAGAAGTTGAGTTCAGTTTATCTCAGGGCGCAGCCATTGCACCCTGAAAAATAGGCGCTTGAGAATGCGTGCACGCTGCAACGGCGTTGCTGTGGCACTTGAGTGTGCCTGCTGCAAGTCTACATTAAAAACAATGAATTCGAGGGTGCAACAAACACGGTATTTGTATGGCTCCTTTGCTAGCTTGCCACTGAAAGTGTAGCTTTTTGATTAAATACGTGCTGCTTTGCTTTTTAATGATTACAACACTGAATAAAGATCTAGCCTGCTGTACAGGAAGCAGGGAAACTTTGCTGATATTCAACCAGCCATGTGTCATCGCAGTGTGTGCAGATGAACGGTGTTTGGCTTCCCCTGTACCACCAGCGCCCGGACCTCTGTTGCTGGACCTCCACCGGTGAATGAGTGGGGAGCTCCAGGGGAAGCCAAACACTGTTCATCTGCACACACTGCGATGCCACACAACTGGTTCAATATCAGCAAAGTTTCCCTTTATATTCATTGTCTTGTGTGGTGATCAGCAGTGATGTGGTGGTTCACTTTTACACTGTGATCTGTAGCCTATAGTTCGGCTTTAGCTTCTAACTATCTTTGTCTTTTTAACCTGTTGTTGCTGCTGAGTCAGTTTGACATCCTGGATATATCCTTCAAACACAGACTGTAGACCCCTCTGTCTGCTTCTCTCTGGAATCACTCTTTTGTTTTTCCAAAAAAGTGATCATATTTCCTCAGGGAGTGCAGTTAGTTACCATGTGGGCTCCATGCTAGCTTTGACAGCTTGAGGGACCATCACAAAGAAGTGACAGTTAACACCAAAGCAAACAGCTTAACTCTTAAGCAAAATACAAAACCTCCCTACAAATTGCAGCATTACACAAACTGTGCTTGTAAAGCTTTCCCAAATAAACTGTTCACAACAGTGGTAATATCAGTAACTTGGCACGCCGGAGGATGTTTGAGTTAAAAAACTTGAAAACAGATTTCAATGTTTTCTATCTGGTGCAAAGGGATTATTTTTAGCATTATTTTATAGGATTATCTTTTAGATTTAAGTAACAAACAGTCCCTAACAGAGCTAACACACACCTGCCACAGTGTAGCAGCAATGGTAATATGTTGTAAAGAGTAAGCATATGTTTGCGGAGAGCCACTCTGAAACATGTTAGCCTTGTAGCTTTAGCAGCATTACATTTTATTTATATTAACTGGCTTAGCTTGTGGCTAACATGATAAACATTTAGCTGTTAAGACACAGAACATGACCCACCAACTGTCAGTATTGTTAGTTACTCCTTCAAACTGTGACTTGAGCTGGTTCTCTGTCCCAGCTGTAGTAAAAATAGTGAGTGGTTTTGTTGTTGGTTTCCCTGGGAGACAAAACAATCAGGGGGAAAGTGGCTGTTACTTCCTCTGTTGTTATGGTTGCTCCCACAGTCCTCAGGCTAATAGCATGTGTATCCTATTGTGTCTTATATCCAAGCCTGTCTGACTCTGTTTCAGGTTTTCAAAGGATGCATACAACACGCAGCCCTTCATCCATCCCGACAGGTGTCTCAGGAGATGCCTTGGACCTCTGCTTGTCAGGCTCCCAGCTCTCTATGTCCAAAAGACCCAGCAGTGCATCGCCGGGGAAGTACTTCTCTCGCTCTGTGTCGGTTTCTGTGGCGAGTGACAGCAGAGGAAAACGCAACACCCTGGTGAGTAACTGCCATATGTGTACTGGCAGCAGAGTGGAGCTGCTGGTTGTTTACGAGTTATAATCTAATCAAGATGCAGCAAAGAGCAAATTCAGGTCTTTTAGGTTGTTTCAGAATCATCCGACTGTGTGGTGTTTGCAAACAGATCTTATGATTCATTAACAAAGCTTTTAATCCACAGGGTGATGCCAGCTTTGGTAGCTCCCGCTCCATTAAGAACCTGAGGCGCTCCAACAGCACCACTCAGGTTAATCAGCAGGCCAACATCAGTTTAAGGTACAAACACACACATGCATACACACCTGCTGATGCAAAAACACTGCAACTATAAGGGGCCATACACATGCTGCATTCTTAACAGCCTGGAAAACACAAAGTAGGGTGCTGGGTGCTCTTCAGTGCCAACTTTCAAGAGCGCGGAGGCAGGCTGCTGCTTGGAGGCAGCCTACTCACCTGCCATCCTGAGAGCAGAGCTGATTTTCTTTCAGGCGCTGTTTTTTTAAGTGTGTAGGCCTAAAGCTGTGGGAAGCCCTGCACAGCCATATTAACCACAAACTGGTATTTACGGAAGAAGGGAAAGATATCTGTCAGCTGTGATTGTTTGTTCCTCATCACATGACATTGGGTGCGTGCTGCTGCAGAAGTTAAACTGTTTATCTCAGCACCTTGAAAAATAGGTGCTTAGGAACGCTTGGATGTCATTTGGGCGTCGCTCTGGCATTTTAGCGCACCTGCCGTTCATCTACAATGAAAACAACTGTTTTAATTGATGCAAACATTTCATCTAATTTATTTTATCCACCCTTTAATTCTCTCTGTCAAAATGAGTGGAGATCTGAAATGCCCCCGATGCTGTCTGTAAAACCTGATTGGGGTGCTCAAGTACGCGAGTCTGTGAACTGATCCAGTACCATGTCATTTATTCATACATTTTAAAGTAGTTTTACATTGGAATAAAACAGCTTTTTTTTCTGGAAATCATTTCCTCTTTGCTGCTTTAAAGGGATAGTGCACCCAAAAATGAAAATTCAGCCATTATCTACTCACCCATATGCCGAGGGAGGCTCAGGTGAAGTTTCAGAGTCCTCACATCACTTGGAGAGATCCAAGGGGAGAGGAGGTAGCAACACTCCAGAAGTGATGTGAGGACTCTCTGAGGAAACTTCACCTGAGCCTCCCTCGGCATATGGGTGAGTAGATAATGGCTGAATTTTCATTTTTGGCTGCACTATCCCTTTAAAGCCTGCACAGCAAGTTGAGCTGTGTAGCCATTGGCAGCTCCTCTTTTAGAGCAGAGATCTCCAGCAAATAGTGGAATATTAGTCAGTAGCAAAATGTTAGCACTGTGGCAGTATTTTACACTGGATAAAACTTACATGGTATTGATCTGGTGCGACTTCTACAAAGCATTCCCACCCCTTGTTATTCTTCGCCAAACTTCTCCCCACTTTTTTGTCACTCTACCTCTTCCACATTTTTCAACATACAAACTCATTCAAACATCAAAATATTCAGCTCAGTTAGGACATGCATGCTTGTATTTTTTATCATTCATATCTTTCAAATATTCCGAAATATTCATCGTTTTCTAGAAATGTTAAATTTGACACAAATTCCACTCCACTTTCAAATCCCATTATAACTTGAAATATTATATATATATATATATATATATATATATATATATATATATATATATATATATATATGAAATCTATTTGTCGCATCAGCTTTTCAACATGCAGCATTCACACCCGCATTTTCTGGAACATCTCACCTTACAAACATTATGTAGCCTATTTAATGTCATACAAAATATACATCATATACTTCTGGAAAACAGTTGGTTCATACAAAGGTTTAGATAAGTGATCACATGATTGGTTTAGCTTGACCCGTGTTTTAAGGGTTGTTAATAAAAAAAATTGAAGCTCATAGAATGCTACACATTTAAGTGGTGGTGGCGCAAGACCATGAATTAATTTATACATCAGGCACGTATCTGCAAAACAAAGCTGTCGAAGGTCGATAAGAATATTGAGAATATCCATGCTTGTAACACATTTACCTGCAGATCAGTGAGTCAGTATCACCTCTTATTTTTCAGGGCCAGTTTTCTGCGTTCCTTATCACTGACATTGACACACTGAACTGCATATTGTACACTATGTGCTGATGGATGTGTTCTGCAAAGCCCCAGGCAAAACTTGTTCTTCTCAGTTAGATCGCCAGATAAACTATGCAGTAACATACATGTGTCTGAAATATGAAGGACGTGTTTTTGGAAGTGAAAGAAAAGAATGTTTAGATAATGTGTGTCAGACAGTCGTGGAGCTCATGTTGCCAGCAGCTCAGCCCTCTTTGCTCTTTAAACCAGAGTGCCTCTCTTCAGTGAGCAACAGCTGGCAGCCCTGAAGCCTCAGCAGCTCGGACAATGGGAATTGTGGCGCGCCAGCTCCTGCATGATAAAGAGTGGAGGGAGGCTGGGCGGCTGTTGCTGGGGTCGCGGGGTGCAGGGACTTTCTTTGTCCCAGGTTAGAGGGGGAGGGCCTGGACCTCAGGGTCAGGTTACCCCCTCCACCAGGAGCCAGTGAAAGGAGAAGTGTGTGTGCACGCTCTGGTTCTATTGTTCGGCAGCTGCCGCCATCCCCCCCTCCTGAGGATGCAGCGCAGAGGGGCTTTAAATTTAAAGACATTCTAAATACCCCCTCCAAGTCTCTGAGTCTTTGAGGGCTGTCACTGGGTCACTCACCACCCCTCTCCCTCTGTGCACCACCCTCTTGTAAAGCAAAAAGTAGAGGAATGTGCTGCCTGAACTGTGTTGTCAGATTTCTTTTCACTGGGCCAGCTGGCTTCACCCCCCACCCCCCCCTCCGGAAGACACACGCTCACACACATGTTCATTTATATACTGACCCAGACAGAAACACCCTGCACAGCACAGGCAGGCTGCAGCACAGATACCAGAGGAGGCCGGGCCAGACACGAGGTCACCCTACATCTGTGCCTCATGATGGAGGTGCTGGTGTGTGAGGCTATTTGAGCCGTCAGGATCAACATATGCATGCACACATTTACATGGAATCCATAACGGAGTTCCCCCGAGCAGACGGTCAGCTGCTACACACTGAATTCCAGTACGGGGGGAGAAGAGAAGAGAAGGGGATGAGTCCCATTTCTGCAGCTGTCATTACAACATTTAATCACAAAAGCTGCCACTAATAGCCACGACCCGAGGTCCCTGCTTTGTGTCGAGTTGTTTAGTTGTGTATTGTGTCGTGCTAAGCTCTTGGTGTGTGGAAATTGAGCCCAGAATGTGTTTTCACCCACTTATTTTCTTGCCTTTTAAAAAAGTCCATTACAGGGTTTCTGCAGAACCTTAAAATGTCTTTATTCAGTTTCAGAAATATTAGACCATAAAAGTAAAAAGTTTTAATTGATTCAAACATTTCATCTAATTTAATTTATCCACCCTTTAATTCTCTCTGTCAAAATGAGTGGAGATCGTCTACGTGAAATTCTACATTTCTAATCTTACAAATCTTTAAAACTACCACTGAACGTAACAGTGTCTTTGAAAGTGAACATAATAGCTGACTCAGATTCTCAGATTCAGTCTAGTTTGGTGTTTCACCTTGCTATGTTTGCCTTTCTTTTTGGTGCTGTGTCTCTTAAGCCTAGTTCACATTACATGATTTTCACCCTGATTTTGTGTCACGGAGACTGTCGTAATCTTTTGAGTGTTCATACCTGGCGATGTGTGTTTCTGTCAGAGTGAGTCTCGCCAAATGCATTCCGACCTGTGTGTGCACTGCACACCACAAAATTTCTCCACCGAGCCCTCGCAGACAGAGCCCCAGATAATGCGGTGACGTCACCAAAGTTGGAGACGACACATCGTAAAGGCAGGGGCCGTGCACAACACAACTGCTGAGCCAAAGGATGGCGCACGGATATTCTTTATTATCCAAACACAACACGCTCCCCGTGATCCTGTGGACGCTGCCATTGTTGTTGTTGCTTGCCGGCCGGCTTGTCAGTGTTGCCAGATCTTGGGAGAGAAACAAGCAACCAGGGCTATGGAAACAAGCCCAAAAAAAGCGACTGCAGTCCAACATACTATCGTGCTTTTAAATAACTTATTACCTCTGACCCAAGGTGGCTCTCAAGATCCTCTGCGATGTCAAAATCGCGGTGAAAATCGTGTAATGTGAACTAGGCTTTAGATGCCTGCAGCTTATGGTTTGGCACCTGGTCTCTGCCTTTTTTATAAAGCCCTGACCTCACCTGAGCACTGTGGGGTTCACACATTAACATCCTGAGCACAGAACATAAGAATATGGGCGGTCCAAAAATGTAGTTAAAAACCTTTAAAAAGTCTGAAAAACTTAAATCTAAGTGTCTGATACATGTTTCCATCTGTGATATTTGAGTAGAGCGCAGTATTGCTCTACATAAAACAATGAGCCTAACCTGTGTGTGGCTTGTGTGTGTTTCTCAGTCAGGACCAGAGTGAGGACTACCTGGCTCTGTTTGACAGCAGCTCAGATGGACGCAAGAAACTGGCCAGCCTCAGCAAAGCCTCACCGGACAGAACCACATGGAACATCCTGGTATTTCTCACCAAACACACTCTGACATTTGTCATCACATTTGACTTAATATACACTTTTATATACTGGACCATACCGGACCAATGTCAAGCAAAAAGCTTCATTCACATTATAAACAATTACAAAAATCCACCTCCAGCTGCTGATGCTCTCTGTGTGATCGGGGCCTGAGGGTGTCAAATTTTACAGTAGCTGAGGATGTAACAAGTTTTTCTTCTTTCAGGACGATCAGCCCAGAGCGTTCCCCCCGCACTCCAGCTCCCGCAGCACCGGCAGCATGGACTCTCCCACCAGCCTGAAGAAAAGGGAGCCTGGCATCGCTCTGGCTGCCACCTTCACTGCCAACAACAGGTGGGCAGCGTCTCTGACACACACACACACAGCAGTGCAGGAACAAACCCCACTCCAATCCGGTGACTACTTGCACTGCTGCATTCTGTATTTCTAGCTGCTTCTCATATTTCATACCTGTTGATCATGGCAGCTGATACTGCCTACAGGAATTTCACCCACACGCTGAGTTTTTCTTCCATGAAAATCTGTGTGGGCTGAGTTTGTAACATGGGAAGAATTTGTGTCAAAGCACATACCGTAAAACTTAATGCCTTGAGGGAGGTGAAGTGAAAGAAGGTGGCATTGGCATTCATGATACGTGACACAAACTGTCTCCTGCAGAGTGTCACTGTACCTCTCTGTTTTTACAGGAGCAACAAGGGAGCTGTGGGGAACTCTGTCACCACCATCTTACACAACAACTATTCTGAGAAACCACTCACGCCCAAGAGCTCCAACCAGAGGCCGTCCTTCAAGTATGTCTGAATGGGTTTGAAGATGTTAATAGAGCTTATCCAATGTGTTTTGCTGATGAAGAAAAACATGTTTGATTCCAAATTATTGGAATTTTATTGACTGTAAAGTTTCAGGAAAATAGAAAATAAAGCTACACTGAATATCTGTTTAAGATATCAACTGTCACCATTTTGGTTTAATGTTGGCAACTGAGTCAGAAACACACCATAGTACACCTCTAATTTTAGAAGGGATAGTTAGGATCCTTTGTGGGGTTGTATGAGGTACTGATCCATAATCAGTGTATTACCTACAGTACATGTCGGTCGGCATACTCAGTTTGGAGAAGCAGCCTGGAGTACTGGAGTAACTGCCTATGGACGGGGGCAGCAGCAAAGCATGCTTTAGCCACCTAAGAAAATCAGTATCAGTCTAAGTGTACGCCATATTTAGAATATTTTTACAGCTTTATTTTGCTGTCAGACAGTGATGTCCAACTAGCCACTGACGCTGTTATATCGATCTCTTCAAAGCCAGACAACATTGACAAAAACAGTAATTTTAGCTCGCTGAACACACGAGTTGCTGGTCTACTGCTGCCTCGATCATGTTTGTGCTTCCGTGTGACTTTGGTGTTTCAAGGCTTAGTTCGGATTCACCAAAGTCACACAATAACATAAACTAACTAATCAAGTCAGCAGTAGACCAGCAGCTCCTGTGTTCAGCTAGCTAAAAGTACTGTTTTTGTCAGTGGAGTCTGGCAGCCTTGATGAGAGAATAGATGGGGAACTGAAGCTGTTAACAGATTCCCTGTTGATAAGGGTTGTCTGAAACAAAGGTAAAGCAGTGAAAATATTCTCAATATAGCGCACACTTAAACTGATACTGATTTCTTTAGGTGGCTAAAATACATTCTACTGCTGCCCCCGTCCATCGCAGTAAACTGCTTAGCTTCTGTGTCGGTACTCCTGTCTGCTTCTCCAAACTGGGGGCGTGCTGACCATGATCTACTGTAGGTAATGCACTGACTAGCACCTCATATAAACCCACTAAAAAAAGTCCAAATTATCCCTCGTTTTGAACTTGTATGAAGTTTTTCAGAATTTCCAATCATATTTTTCCCTCAGTAACATCCTGAAGGCCACAGCGAACGACGAGGTGTCACAAGACAACAGCTCCCTGACAAAGTCCCAGAAGAATTTCTCTTCATCTCCCTCCACCTCAAACAACAAATCTCCAGTGTCAGCGCAGCGCGGCAGCCCTGTCCTGCCCCGCAGGAGGGAAGTCACAGAGGAGGAGGCAGAGAGGTCAGACCCCCTACACTGCTTCCACTGTGTTTCTACTGTGTGTTTACTGTTCTGTTCACGTTAATGTTCTGTCACTCACAGCTGCTCCTTTGTGTATTTGAAGGTTTATTCAGCAGGTGAACCAGGCAGCAGTCACCATCCAGCGCTGGTATAGACGCCACGCCAAGAGACGACACACTAACCAGGCGGCGCTCAAACGCATCCTCGCCAGTAAAAGAAAGGTATCCATCTGTCCCCAGGCTGCCTTACTCCCCACCTTTTATTTTCCGTGGTACAAACTGGTTTTATCTCTCGCTCTCTTTCCATGACTGCATTAACACTATCGATGTCTTTCCTTTTTAGGAGTGGGAGGAGAGAACAGAGGAGGACAGTCGCCTGGAGCAGCAGCAGCAGAAAAAGGATGAAGACAGGAGACGGATCCGTGAAGAGAAAGCTCGTCTGGCTCGCCTGGCTGCCATCCAGGTGCTCACCTCTGATTTACCTGCAGCAGTTTTAGTATTCTGTTTCCATGAAGTTGAAAGACTTGTGAGTGAGGTTACTAAGCGTCCTGTAAAATATGTAATCCGTCCTGTGATTGGAAACTAAAAGACGTGTTCCATATTGAACTGATACAGAGCACAGTTTGTTCCTTATATTTAAGAATCAGTAAATGCAAACAGGGCTTAAAATTAGCACCATCCATCAGCAGGGTTGGATACTGAACTCTGTACTTTTAAGGGTACAGATTGAATTTCATTGGTACTGATTCATGTAAAATCCATTGGTGCCAGTATCTGAAAGCGCATTTGGGTGAGAATGATGGGCTTAGATAAGAGGCGGAAATAACGTGTGCCCCGAAGGCTAGAAGCCAGACACAGAGCTTTGAGGGCTGCAGTGGAGCTCTGTTGAGTAGCTGGCCACGGAGCTCTGCTCCATTGGTCACTCCGTTGGTCGCTCTGTACTGAGCTTGACTTGGCACCCAGAGTGCAAAGCTGTCAATATTAGCATGATCCATCAGCAGGGTTGGATACTGATCGTAGTACTCTAAAGGGTACTGGCCTTGACTCGGCACCCCGTCTGCAAAGATATTAGAGGTTAAACTTAAATTAAGGGCAATAGAAGGAAACCCTCCTCATCTGTCATCCCTCAGCCAGCAAGCTGCTGCATGTTCACTACTGAAACAAAGAAAGAGCTTCTCACTGGTCGTGACTCACTGGCATACCGTAACAACACTGTCACTCATTAGTGACAAGTGACAGCGTTACTACAATTCACCTCCCAGAGGCATGAGATTAAAAATGGCCACCTACGAGATTAGTCCACGGCCAAAAAGAGGATGAGATTACAGAAATACAGAAGGGAATCTGAAAATGACTGCCAGTGGTTGGGATGCTCCCTTCAACTCAGAAGCATCTTTTGTGTCCAAGTGGAAATTCTCTCATGTGACACAGTGACCTACAGTTGGAACCAAATCTACTGTATTAGATCATGTACTTGAAACTATGATGTCAACAAGTTATACTTTGATTCAAATATTTGAATCAAGCCTCTCTGTGGATGCTCTCCTGGCATCATGATGGTTTACATTGTCCTGTGTCTCCCTCTGGTGGCGTGTTGCAGGAGCTGCAGCAGAAGAGAGCCCAGCGGGTTGCAGAGGTGCAGCATGCAGCCGAGGTGGAGCTGGAAAACCTGAGGCAGACGGGTCCAGCTGGACGCAAGAAGCCACCCAAGATTTCTCCCACCAACAAAAGTCCAGCGTCACCGAGCAACAACAGCCCGATGTCACCCACAGACGTCAAAGCTAAGAACACAGGTGATTATGCACAGAGACTAAGAGCACTCGTACCACCCAGCTCAAGATAACATCTTTAAATCCTCTTATGGCGGCGGAGAACTGGTACTTTGAATCATGCAGTAAGAGTTCTGATTTGTTATTTGTTTCCACAGACTCCAATTTGAATGTTGCGGCTGACTTAAGTGAGCTGAGCTTCAGAGCCATTTCCCCGGCTTTGTCCAATCACAGAGGCTCTCAGTGCTCACAGGTAAATAACTCTGTACCTTCACAGCTCAGATCTCCTTTTCCTGCATCCTCTGTCTCTCCCTCTCTCTTGATGTATGAACAAATCCTCTCTGTATCTGCCTCGTAGGATCAGGACGACAGAGCAGAGGCAGACATTTGTGTGGAGCAGCAGCATCAGCAGAACGACAGGAAATATATTCGTAAAGAGAAAGCTCGTCTGGCCCGCCTCGCTGCCTCGCAGGTCAACACACCTGAGGTACGGACTTTGTTGTAAACTCTAATTCAGAGTCAAAGTAATCCAGTCCCATCACATTGAGTCTTGATTGACTAACGTCTCCCTCTGGTGGTGTGCTGCAGGAGCTGCAGCAGAAGAGAGCCCACTGGGTCGCAGAGGCTCAGCATGTAGGTGAGGTGGAGCTGGAGAGCTTGAGGCAGACAGGTGTCATTGGACGCAAGAAGCCGCCCAGGATTTCTCTCACCAACAAAAGTCCAGCATCACCGAGCAACAACAGCCCGATGTCACCCACAGATGTGAAAGCTAAGAACACAGGTCTGTGTGTCTCTGTAGCAGTTTGAGCCTCATTGAACACTAAAACATCTTCATGTCCAGTTAAAGGAAGAGTTCACCCACAGAGGGATCATTTGTCTGTTAATTACTCACCCTGGGTTACGCTGAATTTATAAAGAACACTTGTTTTTCTCATGTTTCAGTGGTGAACAGTGACTCAAAAAAATCTTGACCAATTGAAGTAAATGGGCTCCGCACTTAACAATAGCAAAACTATAACAAAACATCTGTTTGCAAACTCTCACACAACTTGTGCAAAATCCAGGTGTCATTTAATTAGTTATATGCTCAGAACTTCCCAAACAAATTTGTTAAACCCTTGCATTTGAACTCTGCATGTGCATTTCTTTGAGCAGAATTTAAAAGCACACACCTGCCCAGGTGGCTTCTCATAGAGTATGAGACTGTTACTCTAGAAGTGTTTTAAATAGTCATGTTGTAGTGAAGTTATGTGTTTGGGAAGTCCTGAGAATACATCTGGATAAATGAGACTTGGTTTAGATGTTTTGATAAAGGTTTGCTGGTCGACGTGGACCCCTATCGCTTTAATTTATCAAGAATTTTCTCAATTTTTTGATTCTTTATTCACCATGGAGCCATGCAAGAAAATTCAAAGTAACACTGGGTGAGTAATTGATAAATTAAGGATCATGTCATGAGTGAAGTATTCCATGGAAAATAATAAAGAGCACTATAATAATTGTCCTGATTAAATGTTTCCACAGACTCCAACCTGAATGTTGTGGCTGAGTTCGGTGAACTCTCCAGCTTCAGAGCTGTTTCTCCAGCTTTGTCCAATTGCAGAGGGTCCCAGTGTTCACAGGTAAATTAAAAAAACATCTGCACTTTAACCTGCAGGGTCAATTAACACACAAAGTAAGGCTAATTTTAGTGAGGGAACAAAAGGTACGGCCATTTTCACAGCGGTCCTTTGACCTCTCACTTTAAGATATCTAAATGAAAATAGGTTCTGTTTGTATCTCTGAGTCTACCCTTTACAGACATGCTCACTTTATGATAGTTACTTGCAGTTTTTCTCATGCAGTACAAATGTGTTATCTCCGCCTATTGTATTTGAATATTTCTGCACACTGGGGTCTCTAAACAGTGTTGAAATTGCATAAATCAGGTATGACCAGGAAGCTGAGACTCTTGTGATTTCAATTACCATTATTTTATTAATGTGTGATGATGTGAGCCCCGATAGGAGCCATTTTATTGTAGTGAGACCATTTTTTGAAACTTGACCTCACTGTATAAAATTACCTATATTGACCTCTAGGATTATCACAGCCTCATGAAACTTTACAAACACAAACTAGCTACTGCGAGCATTTAGAAGATGTATAGCTTTTATAGATTTACTGACAATAAGGGAGTTTGTCAGCTGTTTCCAGAAGAGAAGCGCTCGCCATACAGTCAACAAAAAAAAACCCCAGTTCTTACAGAAATGTCCAAATGGCAGAAGTTTTTGATTCCAAATCACAGCATGGATTTTTATGTGGTTTGCCTCAAGGTCTTGGTGCCCTAACATGGTATTCTGGAGAGATTTCTAACCATTTTTATAATTTCTCAAACGGTCCTAAATGGTTACATTTATCCCCAAATCTGTGTAACAAATGGTGTCTGCCCAAAAATTACTGCAACACCTTATGAGACATAATTGCTCGTGGGAATGACCATCACATACTTCCAACATAATGTTCTAAGCCTCTGTACACTCCTTACTTCACTAACCAGAACACAATATTTATTACAGATTTATGACCAGAAAAACTTGACACACAGTGCTGAGCTGTATCTCAAGTTAATCTTCAGGTTCCAGCTTTCAGATGATGTAAACCACTTCTCTGTGGCAAACACTACAGACCTGCTTTCTCCCCCTAAAGACCCCCCAGTAAAAGATTAAAATGGGTCTGTGGTAGGGAGGGTGGGAGTTGAAGAGGTTAATGACCCAAATTATCGATCAGTAATCCATCATCATAGGTGTAAAATGTTAAAGCAGTTCCCATTGTAAGCATGTGTGCTCTCTCTGTGCTCCAGGAGATCCTGCAGAGGTCTGTGAGCGTAGAGGACCAGCGGCAGGGAGCTCTGTCCAGCAGGGCTCAGTCTAAAACCACCCTGAACGAGCTGCTGGACACCCTGAAGCTGTTAGAGGAGGAGCCAGAGAGGCTGTCAGAGCCAAAGTGCTACAGCAAAGAGAAATACGCCTGGATAGACGAGGTGAGACCTCCTGATGTGGCGTATTTAGCACCTGAAGTATTAAGTTCCCAGATATGTAGAGCTGAGAGCAGAGTGGACTTCTTTTGTTTTCTTTGTCCAGATGTTGGTTTAATGATGTCATGACTGTAACCTGCGTCTCCACTGTGTGTCATTAAAGGACGGAGACTCCAACTCTCTGACCACCGACAACCTGGAGCGTCACGGCCAGCTGAGTCACCATCCTGCGCTGCCAGACGGGGGCGCCCTGCTCTCTGAGGCCAAGCTGCAGAGCATCATGAGCTTCCTGGACGAGATGGAGAAGTCTGAACAGGAGAGACCGCGCTCGGTCACTTCAGGGTCGCACAGAGAGGTCAGCAGAATGACAGCGCCACAACACTGTCATGTTTAAAAAGCTCCAATACTGACACTCATTGTTTTAAGTCTTTGTTTGTTTTTATGACCAGTTTCAGGTTCCAGTCCAAAACCATCTGTCTTAATATTTGAATCAGATCGAGAGTAAATATTGTGATTGTGTGTTTGAATATAAATTGGGTGCAGATGTTTTGTGAGTCACCAAATCTGTCAGATCTGTCAGATTTCAACAGAATGTAAAATAAAAATACTGAACACATGCTGACTGATTGTTGAATGGATCCTGTGTGTTTCAGGCCGTGCTTTCAGAGGAGGAGCTGGCTGGCGTCGAGCAGGCGTCTGCCACTGCCGCCGAGGTCACCGGCTCCATGATGAGAATCAAGCTAGAGCTGGAGGAGAAGAAACGCACAGTCAACATGCTGCAGGCTGCACTGGTTGGTTCTCTGTTTAGAATAAGGCTTTCACTTCACAGCACAGAGAGTTGTTGACTAGAGATGATACACCATCTCATGGTGGCCACTTCCTGTGAACTGGCAGCTTTTTATCTTTGGTCTTTATCTTTAGCTAGCTTCTCTAAAATGGACAGTTAAGAGAATGAATAAAGAAAGAAAACCAAACACAAGATGAGAATATGGAAAACACAAGCACATAATCCAAATAAATTTAACCCAGCCGTAACAAATATGCACAAACAGATGTGGCCAAAAGTAACGGACAACGTCAATTCAAGACATCTTGTTGTGAAACAAGCCGTCGATGAAGTACTGAAAAAATGTAAAAATACTAATGTAACAGTAAGAAAGGAAACTGATTTAGTTTCAATAAAACAATACAGCCACAGTTAATATGAGTTATGGTAGAGGGAAATGGTTGCTAAGGAGCTTCTGGTGACACATAAGGGAATACTTAAGTACTTCAGTAGCTAAGGGCAAACACTTGGAGATCAAAGGGTTTTCCTTTACACCATCTTAAGGAAATCCTCATGGCTTGTTTTTTCCCAAGGCTTCCTCAGATGAAAGTTACAGGCAACCTTAGCCTGTTAAATGCAACCAGACCCAGGTGTGTTTACCCTCTGTATCTCCTCTCCTGTGTTTCAGGCCCAGCAGAGGGAGCTCACAGTGAGACATGTGAAGGAGACGGAGAAGGAGCTGAACAGAAACTTCCAGCTTCAGAAGGAACAATATGAAGCCACCATCCAGAGACACCTCACATTCATTGATCAGGTAGGGGGACATGCACGCTCTAATCTCAGCTGCATCACACTTCTCTGACATGTTTCTGTCTCCCCTCGAGGTTTTTTAAACGTGTTGTGTCTCTCTCCAGCTGATCAATGATAAAAAGGCTCTGAGTGAGCGCTGTGAAGGAGTGGTGGGAGAGCTGAAGCAGGTGGACCAAAAGTACACCAAGAAGATCGCACACATGCAGGAGCAGCATGAAATGGTGAGAGCATGTTCCCTCCAGCTGAAAAACTGGAGCCACAGTAATAATCTCATGTTCCTGTAAAGATTTAAGAGTTTGCATGTGCACTTCTGAGTTCTCACTGCAAATAACTTCTGCTCCTCTGCTTCTGCTTTGCATCTCGTGCGGCCACGTTGTGTAACTTGCTGTCTTGCGGTGCGGCTTTGGTTTAATTGTCTTTTTTCTGTTCTGCCCTCTCTTCCTCTTCTACTTCCTCCTCCTCTTCTTCTTCACTGTCCGTCTCTGTCCTTGTCTGTGTATCTGTTTTTTCCCTGGCTTTTAGGTGTGGCAAATTCTGGGTCCCTTGTGCGAGGTAACTTTTTTTTCTCTGCTAACCTGGTCATCCTCATCATGATCACCTCTCTCATGCTCTCATTCCCATTTCCTTTCATTTGTCTGTCCCTCACCACTTCTGTTGGACAGTCTGTCTGCATGTGAGTCTCCTCAGTCTTTTCTCATTTATCTCTAGATTTAGATTTAAAACTCCATTTGTTATATGTTAGCAGGTTAAAGGGTAAGTTTGATGTTTTTCACTGTGGACCTCTTTTCACCATGTTTTTGTGTCACTGCAGCCAGCAGCTTGGGGCATGTTCGCACCATAATTTACATCCACTGTAAGTGTTCGTTTTTGTCACTGACAGGCTCAGATTGTATGACAACATTATGGAAATGATCCCTACAGAGATAGAGTCAGATCCTTTTTGTTTAACCAGAAACAGCCCTGAAATCACCATCACCAAACCCACCAGACTCCATTTAAACAGACAGTAATTTTATCTTTGTAAAACACACGTCATTCAGAGTCGACAGAAACAAAATAAAACTCACAGAAACCATCTTGGGTTGTCATTCAACTGTTCCAACAATCACCAGCTCTTGGTTTGGTCGCAATAAACCCTTGATTCACTGATTTAGATGTGAAAACATGCTGCCTCTATACACGCTAAAATGACTGTTTATCTAAATGGAGTCTGGTGGGTTTGGTGATGGTGATTTCAAAGCTGTTTCTGGTTAAACAAAAAAAGGATCTTACTCAAAAAGATCTCTGTAGGGTTAGGGTTTCCATCATGTTGTCAGACAAAAACTGAGCCTGTCAGTGACAAGATCCTGTTTTTAAACAGAAACGGCCCCAAAATCGCTGTAATGGCAAACCCACCAGACAACATTCAAGTAAACAGTTATTTTAGTGTGTATAGATGCAGCATATTTTCACAGCTTAATCAGTGAATTTAAGATTTATGGCAGTTAGGGCTGCACCAATTTATCTGTTGATTATTTTCTCAATTAATCAAAGAGTTGTTTGGTCTATAAATTGTCATAAAATGATGATTAATGTCGGTGTATCAGTGTTTCCCAAAGCCCAAGATGGCGTCCTCAGATGTCTTGTTTTGTCCACAACCCAGAGATATTAGGATAGGTTAGGTTTTATTGTCCCCAAGGGGAAATTCTTTTCCACAGCACTGTACTTGTTGGATTCAGCATGAAAAACAATGACACACAAATACTGACACCATCAGAACACATCACACTGGCGAGCAGCACACAAAAAGCAACGACATATATACAGCATATAAACATGACAATTAACGGGGCCTGTTGTTCAGAGCAGCTATGGCTGCGGGAATCAGGCTTTTCCTAAAGCGAGCCCTTCTCCACCTCAGCGTTTTATACCTGCGTCCTGAAGGCAGCAGGGCAAGATGTTCATTTAGTGAGTGTGTGGAGTCCTGTTCTATTGAGGTTGCGATACGTGTGATGGCCCTGTTATTAAGTTCAGTGAGGTTGGGTGTGGGAAGACCGATGATTTTTGCGGCAGTGCCAGTTATGCGTGTGAGTTTAGTCCGGTTTTTGACAGAGAGCATGGTATAGAAACAGGTAGAACAGTACAGTAGGATGGATTGAATAATGCTTTGGTATATTAACAGCAGGAGATGTGGAGCAACATAGAGTCCTTTTAAGCTTACGGATAACTGATAGTTTTTGGTGACTACGTTTCTGGATGTCTGTGATGTGCTGGTCGAAGGTGAGTTTGTTGTCCAGTGTTATTCCGAGGTATTATTCATTTTACTGTTGTAGAAGAGGAAAAAAACAGAAAATATTCACATTTGAGAATCAGAGAAGTTTGACCTTTTTCCCTTCAAAAATTCCTCAAACCGAGTAATTGCTTATAACATTTGCTGGCCAATTAATTAAATTAGTTTAATAGCTGACAACTATCGATTGATTGTTGCAGCTCAAATTTTAACCAGACCAGAGTGAATTATGTTGATAAAATGACTATTTATTTAAATAGTGTCAGGTGGTTTTGGCAAAAGTGATTTCAGGGCTGTTTCTGGTTGAACAAAAAGGAACCAGAAACACTTGGGTAAAGATCACATATATTTTCACATCTAACTGGGTTTGTTGGGTTTTTTCAGTGGAAAAACGAACCAAGACAGTTTCTGTGAGCTTTATTTTGTGTCTGTCGACTTTGACTGAAGTGTGTTTTACGATGCTAAAATCACTGTTTATTTAAATGGAGTCTGGTGGGTTTGACAGTGATGATTTGGGGGCTGTTTCTGGTGAAACAAAAAGGATCTTACTCTTAAAACAAGATCTATCTCTGTCGGGATCCCTTTCATAATGATGTTGGACACTTATATCACTTATATTAATAATTTGCATGATTGTCAGTGTCAAAAATAAACACTGTTAGTGGACGTACATTGACAGTACGAACATGCTCAGAGTGGTTCCACTGCAGCCTGTTTTGTTTGACACAAACATGGGGAAACAGGATCCTTTTAAAAATACCAAACTCATCCTTTAATCTTTTTGCCCAGAGTTTGTTTGAACTCTTCTTTTATCATCTTTGTGTTGTTTTATAATTTACTGTTTGATCTCCTAACATGCATTCCCCTTGAATTTGTCTCCGTAGTCATCACTGTGTTTAAAACTGAACAAATACCTCCTTTGAGTACTATAACTGACCTTCCTCCTTCTGCAGGAAATCAAGAAGTTAAAAGAGCTAATGAGCGCCACGGAGAAGATCCGCCGGGAGAAATGGATTGACGAGAAAACCAAGAAGATCAAAGAGATCACAGTCAAAGGTACTGTAGACAGAGACTGAGCTCAGAGTGGAAATCTGAGAGTTAAACAGCTTTACTAAAGATCCATTAGGATCAGGGCTTAAATGTGTTTCATGTAATGCTCTGGTTTTTTTTTTATTTGGGGTAACTTTTACTGGCTGCGCTTATCAAGTGCACTTTTATTTTCATGAGAATCCTCCACTGTGCAGGTGTTGTGCATCATTTAGCAGCTTCATACTGGCTCTGTAAAGTCTCTGACCTCCTGCCATCAAACTCAAACATGCTGCTTTGTGCCTGTTGTTTTTGTTTCTTCCTCTGTGGTGGTCGTGGCGAGATGGTAACCCTAGATTTGTGAAACTCAGATCAACCACCTCAGTATATTCTGAGAGGCACTTATGTTTATTACTATACTGATGCTCCAGTGTCTTGTGGCATATACATCCCTTTTATTATGTGATAGACTGTGACTTAACAGATGTTTATTAATATGAACATACTTGAGATTATTACTTTAAGAGCAGCATCAACAAAGAGGGAAAGTTTTGCTTCCAGGAATGTACAGTCTTCTTCCACTATTTCCTGCCTGTGATCCCATGAAGAGTCTCTCAATCAAGTGTTCATACAGTTACACAATTGTTTGTACTTCTTTACTAAGTGACTGCTCAGCAACTTTAATCCAGCGTGCTGTAAACATGCTGCAGGCTCTGAGCAGCCGCACAACACGTGATGAACTGGATTCTGCTCCTCCTCCGCCCGCAGGTCTGGAGCCAGAGATCCAGAAGCTGATTTCTAAACACAAACAGGAGCTGAAGAAGCTGCGGACGCTCCACGAGGCGGAGCTGCTGCAGGCAGACGAGCGGGCAGCCCAGCGCTACGTCCGCCAGTGTGAGGAGCTGCGGCAGCAGCTGGAGAGGGAGAAGGACGAGCAGTGTCAGAAGGAGAGGGAACTCGCCAAACAGAGGTATGCATGTGACATCATCAGGACTCGTACTGACTCTCTACACAGGAGCACTGCATACAAGATATGTAAATAAAACAGAGTAGATGGAAACTGGCTTTAAAATAAAACCTTAAAAAGTAACTCTAGTATTTTCCAATGTTTTTGTGTCTGAAGCCTGATTCACGCAGGAAAAACGTTTGTTCAACCAACGATAACCCTGCTGTTTTCATTCCTTTAAGGGTCATTCTGACTGATAATAATATAAAGGCTGTGATAGCATGTAACCACAATGTTTTCTGGGATGGTTATCATATCATACAACCCTAACTGTCATGTCATCCATGTCATCATCAAGATTTCACTCCTCTGATGGATTCGGTGAATGTGTCTCCGTGCCATGTAGCAAGAAGAGCCTCCTGCACCCAAAACGCTGTAAAAACAACTAAGGGTTTCTTTCTAACTAAGGGTTTATTTCACATTATATGTAACTTTTGTTTTGTTTATATCAACCTTGAATGAAGTGTGTTTTACAATGATGAGATTACAGTTTATTTAAATGGAGTCTGGTGGGTTTTGCAGGGGCGATTTTCGGGGCTGTTTCTGGTTAAACAAAAAGGATCTTACTCTTTAACACAAAGCTCTATCTCTGTAGGGATCCTTTCATACTGTTGTCAGACACTTAGGGGGCGATCACACAGAAATGAGATGCTAGAAACGTGGTTGCTTCAAAGACGCTTGAAACACTGGAATTCCCCCTCCTGTGTTTGTTCGAGTACTGAGGTGTGCGTGTGTTGTATAATTCTTCAAAATCAAATATTGTCAGGATAAATTTCTCGTCTTCGGATTGCATTGTGTTGTGTGTCGCTCGTAACTGCCACAACAAAACAGGAAGGAGGATTTGATTGGCTGCCTGGGCCAATGACGACAATGACGAATGGTGCTACTGGCGTTGAAAATATTTTAACTTTTCAGCGTCTACGCACGTCTAAAAAGAAGCATCTACAAAAACGCCTGTCTAAAAAGATGCTTGAACGCCGGTCAGACGCGCTGTATCATAGGAAAACAATGGTTTTGCTCGTGTCGCGTTTCTAGCGTTTCATTTCTGTGTGATCGCTCCCTAAGAATAACAATCTGAGCCTGTCAGTGACAAAAAAACACTTTATCTGGACTGAGTGGCCTGTTGCAGCCTGTTTCACTGCTGCCAGCTGCAGCGCTCTCTCTCAATACTGGACTGTTATAAAACATTGTTCTGCCCATTAGTCACTCACACACAAAAACATGGGAAAATAGGGTCCAGGTTGAATAACAGTGAATTTACCCTTTAAAAACATCCAGCCTTGTATTCAGTTAATAACGAAAATACTTCAAACAGGAAGCAGCGTCACAGTAAACATCTTACAAACCAAACAGCCTGCGTGAAGCTCGGTGCATTCAAACCTGAGAGATACAGTTTATTCAACATGCTCTTCAAGACTATTTTTGGAGGCAGTGAAATTATGCTGACTGTACCGCCAGGCAGGAGACACACAGAGAGAGAAAAGAGGCTTTGATTTCACTCTGTGTCACATGAGGGATGATCCAGGTCTAGTTTGAGGAGCACACAGAGTTAATCAGTATCTGAAGAAGGGCTGTCAGCAGAGGTTTGGTTAGTTAGTCACATGTGTGTGCGCTCTGCCAGTGTGTAATGATTAGACCTGTTAATTTTAGCAGCCTGTGAACAGCCACATTCAGGTGTTTGTGTGTGTGTGTGTGTTAGGTATGAGAAGCAGCTTCAGGAGGAGGAGCTGTCCCTGCAGCAGCAGAGGAGGCGTCTCTACAAGGAAGTTGCTGATGAGAAAGAGCGTCTGGCTCAGCTGGCTGCAAGGTGAGGTCAAAGGTCACCTGTCTGCTTCTTTCCACTGTGAAAATCCAAAGTCATACACCAGGGCTGTTTTTCTCTCAAGAGACATGCCCAGAATGTTCCAGTAGTTTTGTCGTCGTCATGGAAAATCAAGGAAGATCTTCAGGGTGTGTTATGGTTCGGCTCCAGTGTAGTTTTGTAATGCTGTAGAGGAGGAACTTTGGTAACTGATTGTACTGCAGCTCTCGGGTCAGAGACTCTGCAGAAATTCTGATCAGTAGAGTTTGTGCTTGAAAATCCCCCTCAAATCCTGCCGGGAATAAAAAACACATGTCGCCATTATATATGATCTTCCTGAAGACATGCTGTTACAGCTGCTCAGCAGTTAAACAAGTGATCTTTGGAAGACGACTGAAATCAGCTCCATTAAACTCCATTAAAATTATCTAAAAGAGACAGCGTTACGCAGAGTGAAATGAAATGAGATACCATGAGGTTGTGAATTTTATGTATACAAATGGATGCATACTGTTTATTGGAACACAGTGCAGTTTACATTCATAGTTAAACCCTAATAAGAGAGAAGACTGAATGTATCTCGCACCTGGAACGTTGTCGTTGGGCTTTGTAGTCGACATCATGATTTTCTAAGTCCTCCATTTTCGCCATCAAACTCTCAACTCGCCACTCCTCGGTTAACTGCAGAGAGTACCGTCGTTAGCTCGGCTTGGATAGATTGTATTGGCTGTATCACCGTATCGAGTTTTGATGCAAAGTCTTCCTTCAGTTCTTTCTTTAAGTTGTAAATTGCACTCAGAATTTTTTCTGAGGGTTCATCAGTGTCTGGTCAGTTTGCCCCTCATGTGCCATGTTGAAAGTTAGTTGTTGTGCAAGAGGTGGCGATTCTCCTCCAGTTAAAGTTTCAGTTTCCTTTTTAGTCGCTTTCTTTCAGCGTTTTGACTGATTAAATTGCATTTTCGTTTACCTCCCTCTTTTCACAGAGATTATTACAATATTAGAGCAGAGAGACGTCTAAACTACGTCTAATCAGCATGGCGCCATGACCGGGAGTCCAATGACTGGATCTTAAGTTCCAGCACGTCATGAAATTTAGTAGTCCAGATACTAAAAAAAAAACCCAATAAATCACATGTACTGAAACATACAGTCCTTTATTAAGACATTTAAAATTGAATTTAAATTTTATTATTAATCCCTGCTGATCTGCCTCGTACTCAAAGCACTAGTCTGTGTGGGTTCATGAGATTTTGTGGGTGAGGAAACATATTAATATACAGCCTACAGTATGTGAACATAACGTAAACATCAGGGCCCAGATGCAGCAAACCGACATAAAAAAACTAGCAGTGACAAAAGCCAGCTGTTGCGACGCCTCACATTGCCTGTGTTTCAGCCAAAAAGTTGCACATGAGCACACCACAAGACTACAGTCAATGGCCAGAAATAACTCTCCACACCAGGTGATGGCGACAGTCTGTCTTCATCTTTCAAAAAGGGAAGCCGGAACATTGTCTTGACGCTAGTTAGCCAGTTAGCAATTAACAACACAACCACATGTTAAACAAGTAGAGCATATTTACTGTGCGGCAGTGAACAATAACACAAACCATCAGGAAATGTTTCTGGTAAAGAGCTCAGTGGATAAAAAATCTTATACTGTTTTGTCGTTTGTTGAGCTGAGCTGCCAATCAGAGTGATGTCATTCACTGATGGGCTGCATAGCGTCCGACGTTGATTCAACATGCAAAAAGCCAACAAGAGCGGACAGGGGCCAACTGTGTGGAGACACACTGCCAAAACTAGGCAGACAGATGCTCACTGACGGCCCGACGTTGATCGTCAGCTTGGTGGTCAGGTGCTGGTTGGTGTGTTAGGGCACGAAAATGTGACACTTGGTCTCTGTGGCAGGCTATTTGTCCCGTCCCTCCTCCACTGAGATTGGACAGCTAGGTAAGACATGACATCAGCGACGCAGGGTGTTACCCAAAGTGAAACATTTTCGACTCTCGGTGACGCTCAGCGCCCTGTCACGCTGCTGGTGTTGGTAACACAGTGTAAATATGTTGGGCACCCACTGCAACAAGTTAACAAACTACATTGATCTCAGGAAAACACCTTCCATGTGTTGTTCCTCTTCTGTGCTGGTAGGCGTTCTCCTTCCTTTAACACCTGCAGGTGTATACGCTGCCCCGCCAGGTCCAGAAGAGCCGCATCTTCAGTACCTACAGTGCTGAAGAAAAACAAGTACTGACACGTTTTCAGAACTTTGCCAACTACTTGGTACCAAAGTATCAGTTCTCATGACGTGCCTTCTCTGTAGGGTCCCTTTCCAATTGCAGCTTTGCATTGCCCAAACCCTCCTGAGTGAATCGAGTGTTTTTACAGATGGTGTATATTAGTAATGATTGAGGTTCTCCTTCTCAAGGCTCGTCTTTGTGTTTGTCTGGCAGGCAGCGAGCTGAGCTGGAGGATCTGCGGAGACAGCTGGAGGAGAACAGCTCCCTGGCTGGACGAGCCCTCAGAGAGGAGCTGGACAAGACGCGAGAGGAGCAGGAGAGGAGACACCAGGTGACGAGTATAAGACACAACATCACCGTCAGAAACTACAGACTCACAAGAGTCTGTCTCGTATCAGTCAACATCCATCAGGAAAAATAACTGAGTGTTGTTTTTGTAACCAGGTGGAGATGAAGTCATTACAAGAGCGTCTGGATATTGAAAAGCAGACCTGGGAAGAAAACTACAAGAAAAAAGAGGTGTGTTGACGTGCTATATCTGATCCCACCTGCGCCTTCTGTTGCTCACAGAGACGTGTAACAAACCACTGACACTGTCAACAATATGAAGTATTGTTCCCGTAGGACTCTGCAGGGGCCTGGATCACACAATCCTTTTTGTTTCCACTGCAGCAGTTTCAAATCCAAGAGGTGAAACTTCTCTATCAGTGTAAACAGAACAGGAGCTGCAGTTTCCTTCTATAAATGATCTTTTTTCCACTGAGGCAGGTGGCATGTGTCCAGCTCTCTGGAGAGCAGCAGAGCGAGAGCGACCCGTGCTGTCAGACTCCACTTGAATGTGACTTGGATGAAACCCTCAGGGTGCAGATCTCCTGTAATGAGGAGGAACAGAGTTAATGAGTCAGAACACGAGCACATCACTGATACAGGCTGGAACTTCCTCTGCAGGGAGCTTGTTAAAACAACATTGACCAATAAGGAAGACGCTACAGATTTATCTGAACCTGGAGGTGCTAAAGGGCCTTTTCCTGTGTGTGCGTGTATGTGTGAGTCTGTAAGCAGCCGTGATGGACAGCATCATGTGTTTGTGTGTCCACAGGAGGCGTGGCTTCTGAGCCGCGAACGCGAGCTCAAAGAAGAACTGCGACGAGAACGCGACAAAGAGATCGAGCTCGCCATCTGGACGCTGGAGGAGGAGACCAGCAAGGACAAAGAGGAGTGTGAGAGGGCAGCTGACAACAGGTCAGTGTCTGTGTGTGTGTGTGTGTGTGTGTGTGTGTGTGTGTGTGTGTGTGTGTGTGTGTGTTACCAGCACAGTTTAAGTGTTTTTCCTTAACACTTTCCCTGCCAGTATTTTTTGTATTATTTTATTATTAATCACTAAACTTTTAAGACCTAGAGAATAATTTGTTCTATGAATATGTGAACAGTATAAACTATAAAATAAAAATATATAAAAGAAGAGACCTCCTGTTTTTATACACCAAAAAAACATTTTATTATGTCTTATTCCATTTGTTTTTTATCAACACTTGAATTTGTGCATTCCATTAAAAAACAAAAAACAAAAAAGAACTTGGACAAAAAATATGTCTACATGAAAATACTACTAATAATAATGATAATAATATTAATACGTTGACATGTTCAGTGTTCAGTCAGTGCTCTGTTGTCTCCGTCTCCTCTGTGGTCGTCCCGTTACATCCCACCAAACTCATTTGCTTCCTCGTCCAAATCAGATTCAGAATGTTGATCAAAACAGGAAGTGTCAGATTCTGAGTCCATCGACATCTCCACGGCTTGCGCAACTGTAAACTTTTATATCTCGTCAGTGGTGGGGAAGTGTTCTGTCATAAATTACAGAATTTCGGGATAATGTTAAAGGGCTCCTACACATGCTGCGTCTTTTACTTCCTGGAAAGCGCGAGGTCAGGCACTGGGTGCTACTCTTGTTTCTAAGTGCATATTAAAATATTGTCTGTGGAACAGATGTGAAAGTCGCTCTGCATGAAAGTGACCAACTTCTCCTCCATATTTATCACAGATTGATATTGATGGGGGAATATAAAGATATAAACCAGCTGTGATTGGTTGTTTCTCGTCACATGACATGCAGCGCACCCAGCTGCATTCCCAAGCATGAATTTTGTTTATCTCAGGGCGCAGACGTTGCTTTTCAGCGCCTTCCTTGTATCTATGTTGACAACAGTGGATCTGAGGGGCAGAATAACTGCATGTGAATGATCCCTAACACAATGAAGAGAACATGGCACCCAGTCCACACACAGACTGTAGTGTGCTGTAGTTGGAAATCTTTTGCTTCCCAATAAAGATGTTGACATGAACATGTTAGGGATCTTTTGATCTTAATCTGACTCTGATGTCCTTCATATTTTTTAAACTGGGGAGCTCTCGGCTGTTGTGAACATCTGTAACTGTTTTTGATGTTAATTTGTATCCATGAAGAATTTTGGATGTGCACGTTGTCTCTTTTCACTCCTGCAGATTCTAGTTGTTGCTCAGTTCCTCTCTTGTGTAAAAAACATCTTCACCAAATGTAACAAAACCTCTAACCAAAACTGAAACTGTCGTCAGGGTGAAGCGTGTGAGGGAAAAATATGAGACTGAGCTGAGGGAGCTGGAGCGCTCTGAGCGGGCAGCTGTGGAGAAACAACAAGAGCTGAGGAAGCAGCAGATGGAGACGGAGGGAGAGCTGATCAGACTGCAGGCAGCGCTCCAGCAGAAAGAACAGGAGACTGAAGACATCACACAGGTGAGGAGCAGAACCATCATTCAGTCAGTTGTCAAAACCCTCAAGTCTCATCTTCGTTCATCTTTTCTCTGAAGGCCTCAAATTCTACTTCTTACTATTCTGTTCCTCTCCTCTGTGTCTCTGTAAATAACAACTCAGCACAGGATTTTTATAACTGAGATAAATCAGACAGATTCTATTTGAATTTCTACTTGAACTCGTTTATCAGACCCGGGACAAGCTGGTGGACGAGCGCCGCAGCCTGGCGGAGGTGATACGTCAGGAGTTTGCCGACCGGCTGGTGGTGACGGAGGAGGAGAACCGCAGGATGAAAGTGGAGGTGTCAGAAGTGCGAGCGAGGCTACGACTGGAGGTGGACAGGGTCACCAGGGAGAAGGAGGAGGAACTGGCTGAAGTCCACCAACGGTAAGACTTGGACACACACACACACACACACACACACACACAGTACTCTTAGTAGACACATTTACTGGGGGGCGGGTTTCTCTTCTGAACTTGTTAACATGGGGACAGTTCACGTACTTTTATGGTATACATGTTCCTTATCTGTAGCATAAAGGAGACAATGAGCATGTTTTCTGACCAAACAGTCACTGAGAAGTTAAGTGTTCAGTCTTGGTGTTTTCAGGTGGAAAGTGACAACAGCCGATCAACATCTCACATTTTTTTGGGCCAGAAGTTTCCTCTCATTAACGTCTTCTTTTCTGTGATTTGCCAGAGTGAAGTCGGCCATCTTGAAGAAGGAAGAAACTGTCAATAATCTCCGGAAGCAGCATGAGGTGAGGAGTCAGAGGAAGCTCAGCAGCGTCTTTCTGTCAGCCCTCACACACACTGTTCACCAGCACTGTGAAAGGGCAGCACAGCGACCCTTCATTATGCCACCTTTGTATTTTTTTACAGAACCAAACAGCGTCTCTGTTTGATTTGCGACAGCATGCCAGTGTTCCAGAAGCAGCAGTGTCAGCCACTAGTGTGACATGTATCATACGTGTAGGCAGCACTTTCTGAACAAAATGGCTTTAACACAGCAGCAACAATCATTTTCCATAGCTCAGGGCGTAAGGAGCTCCCAGACCTCATTGGTTTCCCAATTTGCAGACATTTGCAAATTGCTCTGTTACTACCGAGCAGGTAGGCGAGACAACTCTGTTCCGCCATTCTGTGATAGTACCTTTTATACATGACTTGAAGTAACATACAGAGTCCTGGTTGAAACCATTCTATCATTTTCCATGACAGCATGGTGCAGCAACCTGAGTACACAGACCAAAAACAAGCTCTCTGAGATTGTCAACACTGCAGGGAAGGTGATCGGCAAGTCACAGAAACAACTTAGCAGTGTGATTGACAGTGCTGTACGCAGGAAGGCTGAACAGATAATTGCTGATGCCTCACATCATCCTGCTCCCGTCTGGGCGTCGATTTAGATTCCCAAGAACCAGACTGAACATATATAAGAAGTCCTTTATTCCCTGTCCCACACAGGCAATGAACACAGACACTACTATTTTATTAGATGTGCTCTCTTTTACTATTTATATAACTTACTGCTCCTATTTGCACTAGTCTATCATATATATATATATATATATATATATATATATATATATATCTATAGTGCATTTATACTCTATAAACACATGCAGCGTCTTTGTGCCCTCAAATTCATTGTTTTAAATGTAGACATGTGACAGGCGTGCTCAAACGCTTGAGTGGCGCTGTCGGGGTGCACGTGTGTTCTCAAGTGCCTATTTTTTTATTTTTTTGGAATGCAGCAGTGTGCACCGCGTGTCATGTGATGAGGAGCAACCAATCACAGCCGACAGATATCTTTCCCTTCTTCCGTAAATATCAGTCTGTGATAAATATGGAGGAGAAGTTGATCATGTTAGTGCAGAGCTGCCAGCGCCTTACATCTGTCCCACAGACAACAGGCCGACACACGAACAAAAAGATCAGCTCTGCACTCAGGATTTCAGATAAACAGACCATGGTACAACACAAACTAACGAACCAATCAGAGGCAGCGAAGACCAGCAGCTCCCCGTGTTCTGTGAGGTAACGTTATTGTTTCTGTCAAAGGAGCCTGGTGGCTGTGGACAGGGCAGCAACAAAACATATTTCAATCAGGAGAGACACGTTTTTAGTTTTGGAAAGAAGATCTTTAATTACAAGTGTACATGAGAATGAAATGTGAAAAATGTGAAAAGTCTTTGGCGATTAGACCCCTTCAAGATGGTGAGCTATAAGGAGGGTGATGGATCCGTAGCCAATTAGACGCTGGTGGTGGTAGAGGAAGTGAAGAAGAGATGAGGATTAGATGGATGGGTGCTGATGATGCGGATGAGTAGAGGAATGAGTCTTCAGGTTTGTCTTTGACCTTGGATACGACTGCTGGAGGTGAACGGGGTGGAGGAGGGGCGGCGATTCTGCCTAGAATGACAGCTGAAAGCGGCAGAGGAGAGAACAGATTTAAAATCTCGTAGTGACAACCTGATTGGCTGCTGGAGGTTGTGGCTAATGACGATAGGACGGCTAGAAGAGTGCACCCCCGGAGGCAGCTGATTGGAGGAAGCAGTGGGAGTGGGAGAGGGAGAATTGTGAATGAATGAGCGCAGGAAGGTCTTCCTGATTGAACTCACGCTGAGCTTCATTTCACCCTCCCAAAAAAAGACCAACTAAAAACAATCCCTATCAGTTTAAATGTACGCTACATTGAGATTATCTTCACTGCTTTACCTCGCCGTCAGACCGCCCTGTCTGACGGGAAACTGAAGCCATGTTATCGCCCTCTTTAAAGCCACCAGACTCTGTTGACAGAAACATTGTACCTCTCAGCACACGGGGAGTTTCTGCTCTACTGCTGTCTCAATCGTTAAGTTTGTATATGTAATTGTGCGACTTTTGTAACCAAAAAATGTGCCGTCCGCAGCAGTTGGTGGGTTTATATGTAGCAGTGACATCATGCAGAAACTTTCATAAGGTCGTGTGGGAGAAAGGTTTCAGAAGGGCCCGGGGAAATACTATTTTAATGTTTACACATACAGACTTGGACCAAAATTAGAAGTTTTGGATTTAAGAAAACACAGTTGGGGCAGGCTGATTGACAGCGTGTATATAAATATGACTCTCTCCTCTGATAGGCTGCCCTGAAGAGGGCGGATCACCTGGAGGCCCTGTGGGAACAGCAGAGGAAGCAGCTGCTGGAGAAGTGACTGACTGACAGGAAGGCTTTATACGTCTGGACCCCCTCTGCCCCCCCCCTCACCACCACCACACCCCCCTCCGCTCTGAGCTCTCTCCATTGTGTCGCTCAACCCCCGACCTGATTTTTTTCTCTTACCTTTGGATGTTGTTGTTCCTGCCAGCAAGACAGAACCTGTGGAACGTCAGAAGGTTGAACAAGCGACTGAACCTTGTCCTACCTCATTTGAAAAACACAAAATGGGGAAATGCACTGGGCCTCACTGTACAGCCCCCCCACCCGCCCCACTACTCCCCCAGGCATGAAGGAGCGAGCTGTGTTGGAACTTCCCTAATTTAAATGCCACAGACCAGGTGGCACCACATGAAAAGACTACAGATGGACTTCCCTTTCTTCTTCTACTCTTTCCAGAGAAGGATTGCATTAGTTTTTTGTGACTGTCCCCCCCTCCTCCTCCTCTTCCCCCCCTCTCTCTGGAGCAGGAACGCCTCCATGTTCCCCACAGAGTTGCCACGGAGAACAGTTCCAGATGTTTCTGAAACCAGCCCGGGCCTGCGCTGGTGTACAGTGGGAGAAGGTGGGGGGGTTTGCTCTTTGTGAGGGACCACTTAGAGCCAAGAGCTCTGATCAGTTAGCATCAGCGCTTCAGTGTTAGCTTGTGTTTGTTCCACGTCGAGCTCCCGGTGCCCCCTTTTATCTGCTGAGTCATGTGTTTTGTCCCCTGAAGGCGAGTGCTAATTACACGATCTGTAACCTCTGCCCTGCTGCAGCCCTGTGACTCGCTCTGAACAGTTTGTTGTGTGTGTCTTAAACCAAAGTTTGGATCTAACAAAGAAGAAGAGGTGATGTACTAACACTGGTTACAGACTAAAGTTAGAGAGCATGTAGAATGTGGCTAGAAAGAGCGATAGGATGAGACTGAAAGGAAAAGGAGTGAAGAAAAATGGGACGTCTGATGGCATGTTTGAGGTCAAAGACATGATTGTAGAGCAGCTTTGAAAGTTTCTGAATGTGAGGAAGAAAGAAGAAGAAGAGGGAGGGTCGGGGGGTTGGAGGGAAGAAGGAATGTGCGTAGAAAATGTTTATAGGATTAGGAAAGCAGAGCTGGGACAGAGCAGTGGTAGGAGGGTTTGAGGGGGCACAAGGCATGTGACCAGAGGTATGTTAAAAGCCATATAGGTTTCGCTCGGCCTGATTCAGAGGCCGACTGTGACAAAACGCATCAAACTCAACAGGCAGAAGGGGCCTGGAGTCACACACATGTGTTAACTATCTGTGTTTGGATGCTGCAGCGCTGTGTTGTAATTCTCTCAGGAGCCACCACCTCTCAGCACTTCCACATGTGAACTTCATTGATTTTGTTTTGCTTCTTTTTTAATTTCATGGTCCTTTATGGAAACAAACAAGAGACAGTGTTCGAAATTTAACAGCCTCTGAATATTTAATATAGAAATTTAGACAACATTGAATTCATGCACTGAAATACTTTGAAAACCATATATCTGAATTAATTTGTTCTGAAATCATTCATTCATTCTCATTAAAATAAAAAAAGTTTATTGATTTGCAATTTCAGTCCTAAGATTCAAGTTGAAAATTTGTAAAAAATCTGTCAGTTTTTATTGGTTGATTCTATTTAAAAGTTTAAGTAGAAAAAATTCAAATAGCTATAAAATTTAAGAGTTTTTCAATATTATTTGAACATTTTTTTTACTTTATTTGAAATTTTTAGAAGTGAATTCTTGAAGAATTCTTTAAAACATTTCATAAAGTAACATCCAGGCTAGACGTTGCGCTTTAAAAAAATTCTTCAACTTAAATTTTTCCAAACAGCAGATTAAAGTCAAAAAATCTTTAATTTTTTTTTTATTTTTTTTTTTTATCATTCAACCAAAAAAAAAATTAAGAATTTTTCAAAAACTGTTGAAAAATTGTAGTTGCCAGTTTTCAGGCTCAGTGTTTCTATATGAAATTATTCAACTTAAATGTTTGGATCTGAATTCAACCAGTAGAAACCTGTTTCTATTTCTATTTCTTTTTTTTTCTCATTTTGAAACTTGAAATTTTTTTATCTGAATTGTCTGTTAGAATTCAAATACTTAAGTCTCTTATTTGCTTCCATAACCCTTATAATGATTGAAGATATGTCGAAGCTCCTCACACAGACACAAAAAAGTCTTTGTGGGTAAGATTTCAGTAAGAACGGTCCGTAGCATTAGTTAGCGAGGGGTCGGGGGGGCTGTAACCAGAGTTAGTGCTGTAGAGAGAAACTCTAAACCTGGAAGTAAAGCCTGTTATTTAGGTGCAACATGATGTGAAAGACCACATTCTGATTGTAAAGGCCCCACAGCCTCCAAATTCCACCTCACAACAGAAACTATTTATTCTGTTTCTTTTTTCTTTATTTATTTTCCAATTTAGCACTCTTACACGACCTGAGTAGTGTCACTGGTCCACAGAAAGGTCAAGGATTTGAAGTAATGTTTTTTAAAGCTAGTCAACACATGAAGTGTTTTTACAGTTACTTAGCAGAACGTCTAACTGCCACAGTAAAACTTTATAACTATGCCATTTGTAGATGGTTTAAATACAGTATGTCAGGTTTTTCTGACATGGAAGTCGTCCTAGCCAAAATGTAAAAGGTTCATATGAAGTGTAAAGTAGTGGAAGGGAAAGGGTTAACGTAGTTCAGCTTTACTGATAATACAGTTTCTGACCTCAGAGGCATTAAATCAGAGTGATGTCACATCAGCCACCGAGTTAGCCAATAAACCAAATACTGAAATCTACAGAAGGAATCACTGTGACGTCACGTAAACAACAATCACTTCTGGGTAGAAAACTGATAAGTGTTTTGAATTATGATGTTTAACTTGTGTATTTCTGTTGTAATTTTCTAATGTTACTGTAACATTTAAAGATATATAGTTAAACACTGGTGGTTCGACCTATCTGATGTTTCTGCTTATTAGTGACACATTGCTTCATTTTCAGCATTTCCAGCGGCATTTGTGCCACCAAAACTTTTTTTAGTGGCACATTGCTACATTTCCAGCGGCATTTCACGTTTCCAGCAACCATTGTGCCGTCAAAACGAGGTCGCTGCATTTCCAGCAGCGTTTTGCTATGTTTCCAGCAGTTTATGCACCATCAAAAAACTGTTTGTTTTAATGAACCATTGCTGGATTTCCTGTGAGTTTTGTGCCACCAAAACTTTTTATTTTTTATTTTTTTGAGGCACATTGTGTTTCCAGCAAACGTGATGTTTTTAGCGACACACGGTTGCATTTCCAGCAGCGTTTGTGCCACCTAAACAGGGTGTCTTTCAGCAACACAACACTGCATTTCCAGCGGCGTTTTGCAACTTTTCTAGCAGCTTTTGTGCCATCAAAACAGTTTGTCTTAGCGACACATTGCTGGATTTCCAGTGGCTTTTTAGTGGCACATGGCTGCTTTTCCAGCAGTGTTTGTGCCACGAAAACAGGGTGTGTTTTAGCCAGACTTCGCTGCATTTCCAGCAGTGTTTTGCGACATTTCCAGCAGCTTTTTTGCCTCCAGAACGGGGTGTCTTTTAGCAACACCGCTCTGGGTTTCCAGCAGCTTTTGTGCCATCAAAACAGGGTTTGTTTTAGCAACACATTGCTGGAATTTCAGTGACTTTTGTGCCACTAAAATGATGTGTGTTTTATCGACACATCGCTGCATTTCCAGAGGAGTTTGTGTCACCAAAACGGTGTTTTCGCAACGCACTGCTGCGCTTCCAGCAGTGTTTTGCGACATTTCCAGCTGCTTTTTCTGCCACCCATACATGGTGTCTTTTAGCAGCACAACACTGCATTTCCAGCAGTGTTTTGCGATGTTTCCAGCAGCTTGTGTGAGTTTGTTTTAGCGACACGTTGCTAGAATTCCAGTGACTTTTGTGTCACCAAAACGGGGGTGTTTTTTAATGGTGCATTGCTGCATTTCTAGCTCTGTAGTCTGTTGCCCAGCAGGAAAATTAGAAAAAACAGCTCCAGCAAACACCACCAGACTTATTTTCTCATGATATCTCAGCTGTTTCTCGCCCCCGTTTGCTCAGCACCATTTATGTTCGTGACAAAAGAGTTTTCTACCCGGAAGTTATTGTAAACAAACACTTTGATTCAGTCTTCAGAACAGAAATAAAATAAATCCCAGATTAGAGTCTTTCAGTGAGACAGAGGTGGTTGATATGTGTCACACATCGCTGTGAGTTTCTCGGTCACTAACTGAGAATCACTGTGAGTCATGAGGACTTTGGCGCAGAGGCCCACAGACCTCGAAGCACCAGTTTGCTCGCAGCCTCTCGCCGTTCTGCTGGTGTTGGCACAGCAGACGGGGCTGTTGGCCTCCGACTGGAGAGGGTGGCGATGTGAGTTGGCATTCCTCGCTCATGCCCGTCCTACAAGTGCCAATGAGCCTTGCCTTTGTGTGTGTGTGTGTGTGTGTGTGTGTGTGTGTGTGCGTGTGCTACCATTCCTCCCATGCTGACCTGAGATGACCCTCGTGGTGTCAGATACACACTCACACACACAAGCGCCCCTGTTTGTTTTTCATTTGTAACGTTGTACACGAACCATTCCAGCTGTCACTGTTTTGATTTTGTTCCATCTCTCCATGTTTAACCCTTTGTCGCCCGAACACGTAGCTTTGAACACACTGTTTTCTTATCTTAGTTTAGTTTTTACTGTTAATCACGACGATGGTTCGAAAAACTGTGAAGAAGATGGTGACTGATCTGTCAGCAAAAAGAGAATAAAAGACTGTTGGGAAGACGCAGTGTGTTCCTTGTTTCTGTTTGCTGTGAGATAGCAGACAATTGTTTGCTTGTTTCTGTCCCCCGCCCTCCCATCATCCCTCGCTGCCTCAGACCATAACTCATGAGCAGAGGCGAAGAAGTGTCTTCTATCACATTTAGTCTGTGGGATCCAAATTATGAGCCTTAATAGCTGTTGGTTTGGAGCCTGAAACGATTTATTGACAGCAGAACTGAAGCGTTTCATTCCTGAGATGTCTGTAAACCTTCTGGTACGATAAATGTTGTCCTTTCCTTCTCTCAGCTGCCTTTATGGAGACAAACCCCCCTCAGGGAAGTCTCAGCCTATACATCTGGAATAATGTCCAGAGCTGACCCACTTCTTCTTCTTTCCCTTTTTTTCCCTCCTCGCCCTCCAGCTAGCTCACTTCCTCCGGACTGCAAAAGCAACCGGTGGCGCGTACTGAAACGTGTCTCTCCTTTCAGTGTATTTCCTTTCTTTTCACAGAAGAAACTGAACCCGGAGAGGCGCACCGGCCATTGACTCTCACTTGGCTTTGCAGGGCCCAGCTGACTGATGGCTGGCTGCTGGAGGGCTGATGGATGGATGGAGTGAAAGGCTCTTGTGAAGTGTCTTCCTGTCTTGATTTTTTTTTTTTTTTTTTTAAGCACTGTCAGCTGTGTGTCGGAAGTTCAGCGTGCATGTTCCTGCTTGTCACCTGACAGTTTCTCTTTGTAGATACATCTGTACACGAGTGTGTGTCTTCCTGTCTGTCATTATGTTGTGATTCAGGGTCTCCACACATTGTGAGCATGGCCGAGCTCCTCGGAGCTGCCTGCTCATGTCGAACTTTATTGCAGCCTGCAGTGGGCTTCTCTCTTCCTCCCCCCTCCTCTGCCTCACACTGTGGAGTTGAGGGGGTTGACCAATTGCCAGCAGCTGTTGCTTATTTCACAATGGTCCCGCCCATACAGTGCTGAGGCTGGCAGTGCAGCCGCTCCACACTAGATGAGCGGCGGAGCTCCCAACTTAGAGGACTGTGTCTACACTACAGCCGGCATGAAGGACAGACAGAGAGCACAGGACACAGAGGATTTTGTACCGGTGAGAGGGACATGTGTTTTTCTTTACTTCATGTTTCTGTGTTGTGTTTGAGGAGCTTTGTTCCTGTTACACAGGAACAGACACGAGAGAGTCCTCTGACTAAAGGAAGAGAGACTGAGTCATGATTTGTCACAGTCTGATGCATGTGTGTTTCCTTTCCCCTTTTTTATTTTGACCCTGTCAGCCATGTTAGACAGTATTCAGTTTGTGACATTTATTTAAAGTAAAAATCTCTGTGAAGACTATTTGTATTTTCTTTGGTTTGTGTGAAAAATGTAAATTCCCTCTGGAGTTTTCCTGTTATGTTCCTGTTATCAGAGATGTGGGAGCTGAGTTTATCACTGGATCACTGCTACACATTCTTTCCATTCCCCGTTTAGCCTCAGCCAGGAGCACCTACTCCCTCACACAAGCCTGGGAAACTGTATCACTCACATTGTCACCGGTGCTGTTATTATTTTCCTCGATTCACCCGGTGATCAAGCGATTACCTCTGAGGACTGATGGGTTTAAGAAAGCAGCTCCAGACTGAAGTTCAGAGAGCAGGTTTCAGAGCCCAGCCTCAAACTGTGTTTATTACTCTTACAAAGAGGTGAGAAGTGAAGAGGGGAAGTGCTCACAGTGTATGTTAATGTCTTCACCCTCTGCTGAGAGCCTGTGAGACTCACAAGATTGGTGTGACCACAACAGACGGGGCAAAGAATAAGTTTCCTGTAAGATACGGTTTCTAGCTTCCTGCGTTTGTTGTCAGCTGCAGCTGACCTCAGGGTTTTTGCTGCTGTCAGTTTGGGAAGCACAGCTGAGACGCCAGAAGAAAATGCTGGCATGGATATCATAACAACGCTTCTAAAGTGGCATAATATATGAGCTGACTTCATCATCAGGAGGTGGAGGGGTGGTGGATGGTGTGACACCTCAGTGAGATGTCTGCAGAGCTGGTTGTTTTGTAGTGACTCAGCGCTGTGTTTGCAGCGGGGATAGGGCCATGAAGAGCAGATCAATCAGGAGAGACTTGTTCTGAGAGAAAAGAATATTTATTTACATGAGCACAGAAGTATGAGAAAAGTTTTTGCCGATTTGACCCCATCGTGATGTCACATATTCTCAGAGGGTGGAAAAGAAGCAGGAGATTAGGTTGAGGTTGAGGTGGTTCAACATCTGATTAGGATCCTCCTGGGCGCCTCCTGTTAGAGGTGTTCTGGGCACGTCCCACTGGTAGGAGGCCCCGGGGCAGACCCAGAACACGCTGGAGGGATTACATATCTCATCTGGTCTGGGAACACCTCGGGGTCCTCCAGGAGGAGCTGGATAGTTTTGTTGGGGAGAGTGACGTCTGGGGTTCTTTGCTTGGCCTGCTGCCCCCGTGAAGTGACTTCGGATAAGCAGTTCAAAATGGATGGATGAAATTCTACTGTTTCCATGGAAACAATTTGTTTGCTTGAACATGCGCTTGTGATAGCCCTGGCTACCTGTTGTCACATCTACGCGTCCTCTCCCAAAGTCGGCCTGATAGTAAAAAGAATGGCAAAAGATAAGAAGACACAAGAACCAAATTATACTTCTAGATGAATTCAGTAAAAGAAAGAACAAACTGACGAGTGAATTTGATCCGAAAATAACATCAAACATGAAGCAACGAATGTGGGAGGGAATTGCAACATTTGAAACCCGCTGAATGACACGACACACAGTTGACTTGTGTACATGAAATACCTCGTCCAAAGCGATCATCAGTTGTGACGGGGCTGGAAGAGCGCAGCTTCAGAAAGTTGAGTGATCCAACTCCAAATCATAAACTTAGTGCAAAATCAGTTTCTCACCATTAAGGGTGTCTATCGGGTTCTTCCAGTCATGGAACACTCTTCTCAGGACGCCTTCATTTTCCTCATTTATCAAAATAAACTCAGCCATGTTACTGCTGAGATGCAGTCAGAGGTACCTTTATGTTTGTTCCCTTAGGCAGCAATGACACAGAAACAAGATGCTAGAGACACGGACGCTTCAAAGACGCTTGAAACGCTGGAAATACTTATTCAATTATGCGTCTGGACTGCTCGCCCTGTGTGCCTGGGGGGGGCTGGGTCTCCTCGTGCTCCCTGGGCCTGGGGCGGCGTGGCCGGTCCCCCCTGGGGGGCTGTTTCCGCCCCTGGTGGTGCGGGGTGGGTGGGCTCCTCCTCCCCCCCCCTTCGCTCCGCTCCTGCCCTTCCCCCTCCCTCCTCCCTCCCCCCTCTCCCCGTCCCTCCCTGCTCCTCTCTCCCGGCCTCGGGTGGGCCCGGGGTCCTCCCCTGGGTTGTGGGGCCTGGCGTGGGGGCTGGGTGCTGCCCGCGGGGGGTGTTCTGGTGCTGCACAGTGTGGGCCTGCCCGTTGGTGTGCGGCCGCCGGT